TAATAATAATGTATCTTTTAAATGGAAACCCTATGTTTGAATAACGTCCAGAGTTACTTGCTTACTGATGAATTCTTCGGAAGGATTACTGTTATAGTATTTTTTTTTTAGAATTATAAACTTTCTTGATGTGATCTGACTTGTTGTAATATGTTGTAACATGCTGAATTATGGAAACATTTCCTACACAAATGTAACTCACCACAAGATTTTCATTCACCCATTCTCTTTGAACCGGGAGATCTATGGGCAACAGTCTTTCCCTCCAGTGCTGTATGATTATATTTATGAAACAAGGTCTGGGTACCATCGGGACAGTTATATTCTGAACTTATTTATGCTTTTCACAGATCTATGAAGATGATAAAGTGTTAACTTCTGCTTCCAAAGGCAGTTCGAATTGCAGATTCTATTCGTTAATCCCAGCAATCAACCTATTTCTTAGCTGCGTATCCAAGTGGTCATCGAAATTACATTTGATGGCTTGTAGCTGTAAATGAAGTATGACTTCTTAGACAGACATATGAGTTGGACTTATAAGAGTATTAAACTTCGCGCTTTCAATTATATAATGAAATTTCTGGGCATTAGATGCTGAATGAACAAATTCTTCAGTTGATTATGAAGTTGAGATCTAACAGGCTTAAGATCTGATAAATTTTTTCAGGATAGGATAACACTTTATCCTTTGAAGTAAAAAAGAAAGCTGCCTTGTTATTCTTGTTATTAGTTTTCTTTGTAATACACCACAGTTAAAATTGTTCCATGCATTCCTTGCCTTCTGGCAAAGAGCACTTAATATTAAATTTCTCGAATAAATTATCCATATTTTGCTTGTTTGATCCTGCTTACAACATCTGTCAGCGCATAATAAATGTTGCTTATCACCACTTTATTGTTGATTTGCACTGTTGCTTATTTGTCTCTACCCAAACGCTTGTGTAAGCATTTATCACTAATGTAATGGTGTACAATAACTGGCCAACATGGATTTGATAAGACAAGTACACAACTGAAAACTGGTTTGTATTCTCCTTTTTGGTTGTCCGCAAAGGTAAAAAACATTAATTCTTTTTGAAACGTTCGATAGGTTTTTTTTTGTCTAAATCAGTCTAGAGTTATATTATGTGGAATTTTTTCAGAGCCGCTCAACTGCTTTTAATGGCTTAATCATATAAATAAAACGGGTACATAGTTAAATACTAGTTTGTTCATTGGATGGAATAGACAGTGGCATTCACTAAGGTACATTTCAAACATTATTTTGTTTATGTTTATATGAAAATGTCAAGTGTTTACAAAAAAGTAAAGTGTGTCTCAAGACACTACTACCTAGTAAATTATACGGTTTAATATATTTCATAAAAAATACTGTAGAATTACATAATGTCATAGTGCTTAAGTTCTACGCCTATTATTTTTCTTTAGTTTAGGATAAACCAAAGAACTTAGTCAATTATGTTTCGCTAGAATTTAATCAGATACTTTTGCAATTCTAAAATTATTTTCACTTATTTCTTATAATTGTTAGTGTTCATACATTTATGGTTTTCACCGTGCATTTGTATTACGCCTAAGATTAATTTATTTCCAGATAATCTGTGTCTGAATAATGCAAGAGCAAGAGTTTGTGCAGAATAAAATGGTACCACCATTTATTTCGTTGGCTTCTAATCAGCTGCTTAGAGCCCAAAGGCATTAAGTTTATGTACAGAAACAATTTCTAACATGGTTACACAGAGAGTTGATTTTTCAACAAAAAATCAATGTATAAATACAATGCTAGTAATAATAATCACTTTACCCCAAACAATAATGATCATATACAATGGCTTTTTTTGTGTTACGTAATCGAATGAAAGAGAGGATGAAAACATCCGGTTACCAAGGCAAGGAAAGACTGGTAACCGCTTCTTTCTGAACGCCATAAATCGGTATTTCAGGCGCTTGATGGAAATTGCTTCGGTAAACTTGAGGGGAATTGAGCTCTTGCCAGTTGGTAATTTTGAACGATCTTGCAACGTTCACCGCATGACTTGTCTCAAGGAGATGTCTGGCAATGGCATTGTTCGAAGCATTTATTCCCTTTAGACATAAGCTTTTTGGTACATGTTCACAAAATCGGAGGTATATCCTTCTTTCTGTTATCCCAATGTAACTGTTCCCGCAGATACATGTAAATTTGTATATACAGGTGGAGCTAACATGAGAAGGGTATCTGTCGACTTTTGTTTGCACCAAAGACCAAGCAGTTCGATAGACGGGAACCAACTTAGGCTTTGGTTAGTGACGTACTCAATCGCCTGTCGACTATTGCTGCAATATTCTCACCCTTAAAATCGAGATAAATGAAGACAGGCGTTTTTCCCACTATGATTTATTTGACATTTTAACCGTCACATCTTCCATACTTCTTAATGAATCTCTGAGTGTAACCGTTGTCTTTTAATATCTTTTCGAGAGTCATAAATTTTTCCCTAATTTCTAAGTAGAGCGCATATTCTTCTATATCTGTAGTACATAGTCTTGTTTATAGTTATTTGGACAAAAAGTGCTGAAATATAGGTATTGTATTTTTCATGTGGGCTTTCGAGAAGTAGACTTCTGTAGACTACCATCTTCTAGACGTTGCATAGTAACATCAAGGAAATGGAACTTTCCACCATTTTCATGTTCCATAATAAGTTCACTATTTGTGTGTGCGTCGTTGAATAATCTGAGTAGGTAGGAAGCATAACTTTCATTGCTGCACACTACAAACGTGTGAACGACATATCGATAATATGAAAAAGAGAAGTTGTTTCGTCGATTGCATGCTTCAACTTTGCTCTTTCAAGGTTAGACATGAATATATCTGCTAAAACAGGTCTAAGTGGACTGTCGGTGAAGAGTGTTGTCAAACTGAGATTGCACACCTATAGTACCGATTAGCAGTAGGCGTTTGAATTCCGACTCTGGGATTGGAAGAAGATCACACTACTGACAAATGATCTCAATAGTTTCATTGATTGGGATCATTGTGAACAAGGAGGTTGCATCAAATGACGCCACGAACCTATTTGAAACGTTCATGTGGTTCACACTTTCGGTGAAATGAAATCAGTCTCTCATGTTGTGCACGGCTAACCGTTGATGAACAGGTTCCAACTTCTCCGCAAGCCAACGAGCAACCTCATGTTAGGGCGAGTTGATCATCGAAAGCGTAGGTCTCAAGGGGACTTGTTTTTTTGTCTTTGGAAGGCCAAACATGTTTGATAAACGAAACCCTCAGGGCTTAAAATCATCATACGTATTGTTGTCAGTCAATTTCTTCTTCTTTAGAAGATCTCTCAGTACCTTTTCAACTGCATCTGTCTTATTTTTCTGGCAATCGTCAACTTTAAACCTCAATGGGTCTGAATTATCTGTATTTATTTTTAAGTGAATTCACTTGCACGGAACTTGTTTACAGGCAAGAATCACAACATGATCATGTGTTTTTCAAGCTAAAATAGCAATCAATTTTTGTTTAGGTTGACAGCTAACTGTCACACACTCGAAGGTGATAAGTACTGTTTAACTAAACGTCCTTAACTGAATTCAGTGACAGTTTATTGTGTAAGAAACTTTTAGTTTGACCAATCTTCATTGCTGTTCCACTGCCAAGCGTAGTTTTTTTAAATTCTTATTGTATTTACTTAGTGATTTCTTAAAAGTTTTTCTTCTTTGACAAAAACTTTCTTATTGTGAAGTGCCGCAAAGCCTGTTGTACCAGATGAGTCAAAGTTTGTAACCAAAATATTATTCCCAAGTTTAAGTGCTTTCAGACAAACTATTTAGTGATAAACTAGATCATTTTTTGTCCAGACATAAGGACGTTAATTTGACAGTTAGCTGGGGAGAAGGGTGGGGTGGAGGGAATAGCATTCCAGTTAGGCGGTTTTCTCTGTGCATATGAATATATTAATCTAACAACTTATAAGCCAATGACAAGCACTTTTAGAAAAAAGGTGAGATGAGCAGTTTTATTAGGGAAGTGGTCACCGTGTGAAGTATGCGAATAATCACTAAAAACTTATAGCATTCATATTTATTCCTGGTTGGGAGTCAGTATATTCTGAGTAACAGCAAGGTGTTACATAATACGTATAAGAATCCAAAACAGGAGGATAAATAGCTAGTCAAGAAAATAAGTAGCATAGTGAAGCACTCATCTAAAGCAATTAACTCTTTATGATCCCCAAGCCACGGCTATATGAACTATTTTGGGTACTTCATTCAGTGAGACTCATAGATATCTAGCATCATAGCTGTGCTCTGATGTCTTGGTGCTTAGCGATTTCGTCAAACTTTGAGCAGAACTTGGCAAGCGTTCCTGTGCCTTGGGTTTAAATTTCTGAAAACTGTTTTGGCATTCATTAGCAGCTTAGCATGTTTTTCCTAGCGACCTTTATAGTCGTTTCGTGTAAATTTATAGATTGGTCTCACTTTTGAATATGAGGCTTAATAGGAAGGTGTGTTATTTAACTGCATATTTCCCATCCAACTTCACACAGTCTACGCCTGATTATTGAGATATGTACCAAAATCACAGTTAAGTTCAGCAGCGAATAAAACATTGTGTGAATAAATCTCTGTGACCCGATGACAAAAACTAATGGTCAGGTAAGAATTTACTACTATTTTCTGGTGAGCTTTAGAAAGACGTATCCCTTTGGTTTTTCATGGCAGACTGTTACCAACAATGTTTTATTATAGACTGACAGAAAGTCGGAAATGCTACGACGCATTAAATTTCGAACCACCTGCACTAGTATTACTTACCAAACCTGCAAATGGTCCGGTGTACGGATCATTCCTTTTTTTTTTAAGAATTAACATGGGAGATATCTAGCTGTCTATTAGTTGGTGTTGTTTTTTGAAAGTATTTGCATTTTCTTTTTCATTCACATTTCTGACATGTAATAATTGAGATTTGAGGCGTAAACTACTATCCCCTTTGCTTCGATTTTATTTTCCAGAAAATTCGGTCGTGAAGCACTACTGAAAGAACTTTCCAAAGAACTACTCTATATATCCAATCGTAATCTTGGTAGAGATGATCGGTAAGCCTGTTATTAGTGTCATTCCATTGATGACCGTGTAATCTTTCACTCTCTCTCTCTCTCTCTATTATCATCCGGCTCTTTGATTAAAAAGTTTATTTAAAGAAACTCTGTGTTTTGTATTGTTATATTTAGCAGTCAAGGATTATAAGTGCATTCACAAAAATTGGTTATCAGTTGTTTGTACCTGTGAACTTCAGAAGAACACTATTTTGATTACAAGAATCTATTCAAATTGTTGTGCTTCACACTAATTAACCATTCATTCATTGAATTATGCAAGAGTAATGAAAAGAAAGTGAAAATATTGGTGTTCAGAGTCTTAAAAAAATAATATGAAACAATTCCACAGTTACGCAGAGATATGACTGGTTGTTCTAAGAGCTTTATTTAAAAATGTAGTTGGTCCTGGGTTCAAATATCGTTCTAAATGCTTTTTCACGAGCATTTGAATATTAATAACAGCTTTCAGACAATCAGTAGGACGTGGAAAATTTGTTCTGAGTAGTTGACTACTACTGATTAACGTTTTCAACCTTCGCCTAGTCGACCTAATTCAACCTATTGTGATTCAGTAATCTTCGAGTCGATATACTTAGCCACTCCTCCAGTCATTAAGTACAGACGTAGAAGGTCATCAGTTGACTGATATCTCTTGATTATTAATCTGCTGCTTGCTTTTTGACTGATTATCCAATACCACTGTCATGAATAAGTAGTTCTTTAAAGGTAATGATGATGAGCACCTTGGCGACTTCATTACTGTGTAATTTTTCACAAATCATATCTAGTTATTGTATTTAAATATGCCTAAATCACAAGTGGTTTATGTATGTAAGAATATTTTGTGTTCTGTGATTTTATCAGCCATTATTTCACACGTACTTTCCTTACCATTTGACACAAAGCTGTCCTAAAATAAGCCTCTGTAGTTTTCCGGATAAATAAATTTTATGTTAACATTCATTAATCTATAAGTATGGATAACAGTTTAAATGATATTAAATCTTGGTAATCGATTGTGACTAGTGCTTTACGCACAGAAAAAGAATTTTTGAAGTATTGGTTTTTAGGGATTTAATTTGATTGGTTGGAGGATTTCATCGTGAGCTGAAATCGGTTAGAAAAACAATTGGAAAACTTGGGAGTGCTGAACAGCTGTTCTGTCCTTGTTTGGGACTCTTCATCAGTATGCACCCACACCACGAGGTTGGAACCCAGGATCTTCTGGTTACAGGGTGAGATAGTTCGTATACCATTAAACCACTGGGATCCGATCCAATGGCTTGTGAACTCTAACTACTGCCAATTCACGACATAGCGCTACCACTTCTCAGTGTCTTTTCCGATGAGTTGCTGCCTCATCTTCAGCCTGCTTCACCCTGCTGGTCATGGCTTCCCACTAGAACTCCAGTGGGTTGCAAAGCAGTGGCACTATGTCATGAATCAGCAGAAGTTAGAATTCATGGACTGGCCATTGGATTTGGTCCCAGTGGCTTAATGGTCTACGAACTATCTCGCCCTGTAACCAGAAGATCCTGGGTTCTAACCCCGTGGTGAGGGTGCGTACTGACGAAGAGTCCCAAGCAAGCACGGAACAGCTGTTCAGTACTCCCAAGCTTTGCAATTGTTTTTCTAACTGATATCAGCTCACGATGAAATCCTCCAACCAATTTTTGTAGTCACTACTTCTTTGTAGTTAGTAGACTTGGATCAAGACCAATAGAATTTCTGACAAGCTGCAGACGCCCACAAAAACCTGCCTTCGTTGGCTCAATACAGAATATCTAATGGCCAGCCAGAAAGCATAAGCAAGGGGCAACTTGACTAGGGATTTAATCAGACAACAGCCTATTGCCTGAGAAATATGTAGAAGGAAACGGAGATGGATTGAACATATGATGATGAGGCCTTCAAGCGACATCCAACGTCTGCCAGTCAATCGAAAGGAAATTGGGAGGAAGTCCGAATTGGACATGGAGTGGAGTGAGATGTAAATGTGTTGTTGAAGTCTTTTGTTCTACTCCGAACTCAAAGAATCAATAATAATAATAATCATGTGCTTTGTGCACGTGTTCACCTTTATGGTTTAATCTGAAAAAGCAATAAAAGGTAGCTGTTTTGTGTGAATGCTTTCACATGTTCACATATTTACTTTTTTTCCTAATGTAAATCAAGAATTGTCGCCTTTATCAGTCTGTTTTATTTTCCAGCTTTAATGCCAAGCAATTTGATCTTCACTTTTTCTAATTCTATGAAATTATCAATCTTTGATTCATTCGCTTACCTAGCAAGTCTTTATAATCTTTCGTGTGTATTATTATTATTATTTTTGGTTATTAAAACTGTGTTGCTTCCGCTTATTTCCATCAAACACTTAAGTGTTTCTATTGTCACTTAAATTAAGGAGAACGTGAGGAATGAGAAGAAAGAAAAAAAAATAAGAAATACAGTTATTGTTTTCCTATACAACTAATAAAAATATATGACTCTATCATCCTAGATATCAGACATTATAAGATTCTTTATTTCATTTTTTTTATTTTTTGAAAAAAAGAATAGGAATAATTTTAAAATAACCAAAAGTAAAGGAAACAAAAACAGCCAAACAACAGGGAAATGAAAAGTGACACAGAATGTGTTTACGCGTATGTGTTCGTGTGTGTGTGAGAGAGAGAGAGTGCCTAAATTTCCAGGAAATGATAAGAAATCTGTCACTGCTGACAATAAATGGAAACCTGTCACACAGATAATAATAATAATATCAGTAATTGTAGTAATAAACAATAGCACTGTTCATAGGGCGCAGTATCTGATTTCCCAGTAGGGACAAGGAGGGGGGGGAGGTAGAATGGCATTTGGGAACCAATTAGACTTTCATTTTTCCCCTCCAAGCTTCATCTTAGTGATCACCGACGTGGGAAGTCAGAAACGTCTTAGTCACTCTAAACAACGTTATCACACAACTAGTGTGTATCCCTCGGCGAGCTACTGAAAGACTCATTAATTCACCACGTCTTAGTGACTAGCTTTGAAGTGAATATCTTGAAGCTTTGTTGACAATTCGTGACCAATAGAATCAGTCGAGTTGCGTATGAAGGCATTTACTATTTTTAAAAGTTTCGTTTGACTGACCGTGGTAACATGAACACTGAAGTATGCAGCATTCATTATCACTACCATAAATGCATTTTTTATGCTTGTACCACGCTGATGAGTAAGACATTCGGTTAAGGTGCCTGTTTCGTGTAGTTTCCCAGTTGATTTTAGACATTGACAAAAATACCTTAATACCAGTTGGTCATCAAAGTCTCTTTCAGATACATACGTGTGGTTTCAATGTCTTTCTATACCTCCTAACAATAATAATAAACGGTAATTATCATCAAAAACTGAAGAAAAAAACACTTAGAAGTATACTTTTCTAAAGTTTGGTTTGTAAGGGTTAGTTATAATTTACGAGTTGATCACGGATTGATATCAGCTAGAGAACCATTGAAAACCAGGGAGTACTGGACAATTGCTGTTTTATCCTAGTCTGGGAATCATTGGCAGTACGCGCTAAATCACAAATTGGCAGAAGTTAGAATTTATGAGCCATTGAATCGGGTCCCAGTGGCTGAATGGTATACGAGCTTGCCTTGTAACCGGAAGGTCCTGGGTTCGAATTCCAGTGGGTGCGTACTGCCGATGATTCCCAAACTAGGGTGAACCAGTAGCTGTCCAGTACTCCCTGCTGGTTTTCAATGGTTCTCTAACTGATATCAATCCGTGATCAACTCGTAGAAACTGCCGTTCAGCAATCCGAAAAGTTTGAGTTCCATACTTATAGGTTAAATTATGGCGGTTTGAATTATTGAACCAGAAAGAAAGATCTTCTCATATTCATTGATGTTTACGTGTTGATTCATAGTTCTGAAATACACGAGTCTAAATTCAGAAGTATGGGTTTGTAGAGATTTGACTGGTTACAGGCTTCATCATAAGCTGATATATTAGGTAAAGAACCATTAGGAAACCAGGGACTACTGGACGACTGTCTACTCCTAGTTTTGGTACTCTTCAGCAATACCAGTTAAATGGCCTAAAATTATTTTAGTCGGATTTTGGGAATTAAATTTAATCCCACTATAATCTCACATGTGTTATGATACTCGTGGATATACTACGAATAAGTGGGACCTTATTTGAACATTCAGCGGTGTATTTCTTACTATTTCTATTTTCGCGTCAGCAGGCTTGTTCTTGTACGTACGTATACAGATATTCTACAGTAGGTTTCTGGGTATTTCGTTTTAGAATTGCATGATTACGGATAGTCCTAGTGAATACACATTTTTATGATTATTCTTCTTTAAATTTGCATCTTATTCTAATTTTTTTTTTCAACCTGGAATTAATAAGTTTACATGTGAAATAAATTGTTGGTGACTGGAAATGTAATTCTATAGTTAGTTATTTGTGAAAATCTTCACCAGTGTAACAACCGAGTTAACTGTTTATTCTGTGAAAATAAATGCAGCGTGAAATCATTAAATAGTTAGCTAACTGATGTCGGTTGATGACAAAATCCGTATTGATGAATCATGAGAAAACAGTTTTTGAAAAAATATCTGGATAACGAAGCTGAGAGGAACTCTTAATTGAACACAAAAAGTTAGTTACTCAATGTTTTATGTCTGTAGGAGAAGTCTCAACTCTAGCTGATTGAAGGTTAAGTGAAATATGTCATGTACGTCGGTGGCACAGTGGTTAGGACTCTCGCCGACCATCCAAATGGTCTGGGGTTCGATCCTTTGCCGACGCACACCTGATATCTATGGTCGGCCTGCAAAATTTGGGCTACAGATATCACATGCTGAAAATTCCATACCTATACCAACAAATACGGTGTAGAATCAAGCTGAAATCAAAAATTAAAACAAAATAAAAAATAGTGGATCTTGTCTACGATATGATTACTGTTTGGTCAATGCAGAGACGCAGAATTTCTTATCGCT